CAGAGTCACATTTTACTTCAAGTATGTTTTGTACAGTTTGTTCTAGAAGAAAGATCTAAAACTAAAAAAGAATGAAATTTGAGATTTATAAATTTGCAAAATAAACCAAAAGCAACTGCAAACACAACCTTAAAAACCATAAAGATAAAAGTCGAGGTAAAATTTGTTTGGAGACCGATCACCTGTCTTTCGATACCAGGACCGAAGTAACGAGAGTTTCTGAGAAGCTGTGGCTGTTGCTCCTTGGACCACGGAGGGGTCATGGCCGAGCTCCAATCGAAGGTGCACCTCATCTCCCACCCCATCTGCCTGAGAATCCATGGGCCCTCGGTGTACGTAGACGATAAGCAGCGCACATGGCTGCATCTCGTCATGGAGACAGGAGGTGTCCTGCAAGTACGGTTGCGCCAGGAAGACATCCCCAGTGTGCATATCGCACTCACCATCTGCCCGCAGACCTCGAGCACCATGCCTTTTATGTGGATCCTCTATGCTGACAGCCAGTACGTGGACTCCATGTGCCGGTTCTGGCGCATCGTGCACCACATCAAGGAGGATGGAGTGGAGGAAATGATGCTTGAGCAAATAGACAACTCGTAGGACATGTGATGGGGTCCCTGGCTCTTGTCAACCTGAGCCCTTGTTCTGCTGGCCTGTGGGTGGGATGTGTATAGTTCAGTTCACATTTTTAATAAGCTCTGCTGTTCTATCTGCTACCGCCTGGGTGCGAGGGACCATTGATGTCATTCTCTCTCTCGCTCTCTCTTTCTTCTTGTTCTTCTTGTTATTTTTTTTGTTCTTCTTCTCCTTCTCCTTCTCCTCCTCTTCCTCCTCCTCCTTCTCCTACTCCTCCTTCTCCTTCTCCTCCTCCTCCTTCTTCTTCTTCTCCTCCTCCTCCTCCTCCATTCTCTCTCTCTTGTCTTTCTGTCTCTCTCTGTCTCTCTCTGTCTTTCTACCTCTCTCTCAAATCAACAAAAGCATTTTGAGCCAAGCTGGTGTTTCTCAGTGGTTGAGGGACGATTCCTTGTCAGGGCACAGACAAGTATTAACCAATGAGCCCTAGCTTGATAGGCTCAGTGGATAGAAGGTTGGATTGTGGACTCTGGAAGGGGCCAGGTTCAATTCTGGTCAAGGGCACATGCTCTGGTTGTGGGCTCCATCCCCAGTAGGGGGTGTGCAGGAGGCACCGGATGTATGATTCTCTCTCATCATTGATGTTTCAAACTCCCTTCCTGTATGAAATCAATCCTATATAATAAAAGCCTAATATGCTAAGTGTCTTGTCAACCGGTCATCTGTTCAACCAATCAAAGCCTAATATGAAAATGAGATGCTAAGGTTCCTCAACTGCTCCCTATGACATGCATTTACCACCATGGACAAGATATTCAGACTGGTAGGTCAGCTTGCTGCTGGGGTCTGGCTGATCGGGACTGAGTGAGACATGCTGGGCACACCCTGGATCCCTACCTTTGTCCCTCCTCAGCTGGCGAACCTCCCGTGTCCCTTCCCAGACATAATGGTGCACCACTTTGGTTTCTTAGCCTGTCCTGTGCCCTCTCCTAATCGGGGATACCCCCAGGGATGTCAGAGAGCCACTTTTGGCCAATCCCTGCAGGCCAGGCCAAGGCACCACACTGGTGCACGAATTCGTGCACTGGGCGTCTAGTAAAAATATATTAAACAGAGAAAGAAAAAGAAAAATACCTTAAGCCTGAAAATATTAGCCCAGCCACGGTAGACAAGGCTCACAGACATTAGTGGAAATAGTTTTCATTTCAATGACCAGTGTTCTCATTGTTTGATGTCCTGAAGTTCGTCAACCGATAATACCCTCTCCAAAAAAGAACAAATGTTTGGGTGATTTTGGGTGTTTTATGCTGATCATCTCTTTCCTTTGAGGAATTTCCAGGGATGCCAGGGCACGTATCCTGAGGGCTCGAACCGACTCTGTGTGTGGCTTTAGCATCTAGTTCTGGATGCATTTGGGTTTTTAATTGTGTTTAGCACTGAACAGGCCCAAACCATACCCAGTGATCATAAAATTCATCTACCATCGCACCAGAGAGATGATGCTGAAGGGAGAGCCAGAGGAAGCCCCAGAAATCTATTTCAGGACATCCATGGTTGCATTAAAGAGATCACTGATTACTTTTTAAATTCAGCGGCTGAGCATCTACCTATCAACCAGGAGGTCACGGTTTGATTCAAGGTCAAGGGCACGTGCCAGGGTTGCGTGCTTGATTGCCAGTAGGGGGCGTGGGGGTGGCGGCTGATTGGTGATTCTCTCTCATCATGGATGTTTCTCGCCCTCTCAATTTCCCTTCCTCTCTGAGTCAATAAAATAATTAAAAAAAATATTAGCTATTGTTGCATTCAGAAGGCATGCACATTGTTTTAAAATAGTTTATTATTTTTTTGGTTTAACATACCAGGCTGTTAGTCATTTAAAGACGACCTATTGCCCGAGCTGGTTTAGCTCAGTGGATTGAGCATTGGCCTTTTTTTCAAATATATTTTTATTGATATCAGAGAGGAAGGGAGAGGGAGAGAGTTAGAAACATCCATGATGAGAGAATCATGGATCGGCTGCCTCCTGAAAGTCCCTCACTGGGGATCAAGCCCACAACATGGGCATGTGCCCTTGACTGGGAATCGAACCCAGTACTTTTCAGTTCGCATGCCAACACACTATCCACTTAACCAAACTGGCCAGGGCCAATTTGACTTTTTGAAAAGGGTGCAAATGCCTTGAAGAAGAACGAAGCATCTCAGCATTCGTCACAGTGGCAATTAAAACTCACCTCACCATCCTTACCACATTGTTCCTGTAAATGCAGACTCTGACTAATAATGAAGCTTGTAGGTAAACAGCATGTTTGTATAAGTATCCTAGGAACTAATTTTACAAGATATGAACAATGACATTCCCACTTCTGGGAGATTTGTTGACCTTCAACATTAGAACCAGGATTACAAAGGCTATGATGACGCACACTGGACTGGCACCTGACCACTTGCAAATTCCTTATCAGATTGGACTGTGCCTGACAGCATGTAGAGAAATCCTGAAGCCATGTCCGCTGACCTCTTTGCTCCGTTTGACCTCTCCCTCCTTATAAATGCCTCTGCCTGCACTGAGATCTGCAGATGGGTTTTGGGACGACCATCCTCCATCTTCTCAGATTGCCAGCACCTGAATAAACCTCTTTCCTTCCTCAATACCTCCTGTCTCACGAGACTGGTTTCTCGGGTGTGAGTCAGGGGAACCTTGTTTTTCTGGACACATTCCTGGTACATGGACTCCCTGGAACAGGTGTATCATGGTCATCTTCTTTCTTCTGCAGGTGACACGGGGAAGCAGAGACTAGTCACAGAGGAAAGGAGCAAAGAACGGTGCTTTGCCATCAGAGCAAGAAGAACAGGCAAGAAAAAGGTGGATGGGAGGAGAAGGAGCAGGAGGAGGAGAAAGGATTAGGGATAGTAGCAAAACCATTCAGCTCTTCCCAAGATTTTGACTGGGGTTTCAGCAGAGGTTAGATCATTCTACAAGCGACGTGATAAGACCTCAGGAATCCTACTTTCTGTTTCACCTGTCTCTTTGCTTCCTGTTTGCTCAATCAGCTATCCTGGGTGTCTGTCTGTTCCTGAATTCTATGGTCTTGCCTCTCTCACCAGCACGTTTGAAGCAAGAACGCTGTTAAAAAGCCAACCCCGATGCTGACGTTAGCTTTGTTCCTCTGCCAGCTGTGAAAGGTAAAGCATATTATTTTCATATAATTTGCATGGGGTTGGTTGTTCTATGGTTTGTGAGTTCCCTCTGAGATGATCGGAAAGAAGGTGGTGGTGTCAGGACAAAAAGAATAGTTGTATTTCTTTTTGTTATAATTAAGTTATAATTAAGACAAAAAGAAAAAAGAAAAGAAGAGAAAATAAAAGAAAAGAGCCAGGCTGGCATTGCTCAGTTGTTTAGCTTAAACCGAGAATCCAGGAGTTTTTGTTTTGATTCCCAGTCTGGGCACATGCCCAGCTTACAGTCTTGATCCCCTGTAGGGGGCATGCAGGAGGCAAGCAATCCGTGATTCTATGTCATCTTTGATCTTTCTCTCTCTCTCTCTCTCTCTCTCTCTCTCTCTCTCTCTCTCTCTCTCTCTCCCTCTCCCTTCTTCTCTGAAATCAGCGAAACTATATGAAAAAAACAAAAGAATAGTCATGGCACAGTAAAGTAGAGCATTGAGTCAATGCAATCGTATATAATAAAAGGGTAATATGCAAATCAACCAAACAGCAGAATGACTGGTTGGTATGAAACATACTGAGCACCTTGGGTTGATGCTCATGAGAAGAGCTGTCCAACTGTTGTCAGTGCACTCCCACAGGTGGAGCACCGCTCAGCCAAAAGCCAGGCTCACACCTGTTGAGCACAGGTGGGAGCCTACATGGCAGCACTATAGGGGTCCTAAACTGTCAGTTGGACATCCCTCAAGGGGTCCTCTACTGGGAGTGGCTGCAGGGTTGGCTGAGGGACCCCACGTGTGCATAAATTTTGTGCATTGAGCCACTAGTAATATTATCAGAACGGTGTATGGTGTCAGATGCTTATGAGATTAATTGCATGATTTCATAGTTCATTATATAATGTCTAATCATTGGGGTGTACCCCTGAAATGAACCTAAGGTTCTATGTTAACTGTCATTTAAAAATGTTTTTAAAATTCCATAGGACCATGTTACCTTCATAGAGTCATATTTTACCTTACTTACTTTTTGTACACTTTGTTCGAGAAGAGAGCTCTAAAACTGAAAAGAAAGAAAAGTTGAGATTTATGAATTTGCAAAATAAACCAAAGGCAACCACAAACACAACCATAAAAACCATAAAGATAAAAGCTGGGGTAAATGCGTTTGGAGACCCCATCTCCTGTCTTTCGATACCAGGAACGAAGTAACGAGAGGCTCAGAGAAGCTGTGGCTATTGCTCCTTGGACCACAGAGGGGTCATGGCCGAGCTCCCATCGCACCCCATCTACCTGAGTATCCGTGGGCCCTCGATTTATGAAGACGAGAACCAGCGCACATGGCTGCATCTCGTCATGGACACAGGAGGTGACCTGCAAGTACAGTTGCGCCAGGTCGACTACCCCAGTGGGCATAACGGAATCACCACCAGCCAGCTGACCTCAAGCTCCATGCCTTCAATGTGGACGCTCCACCTGGGAAACCTGTACGTGGACTCCATGGGCCGGTTCTGGCGCATCGTGCACCACATCAAGGAGGATGACATGGAGGAAATGATACTTGAGCTGATGGACGACTCCTAGGACATGTGATGGGGTCCCTGGCTCTTTTCAACCTGAGCTCCAGTCCTGCTGGCCTGCAGTGGGACATGTATAGTTCTGTTCACCTTTTTACTAAGCTCTATTGTTCTACCTGCCACCCCCTAAGTGCCAGGGCACATTGATCTCTTTCTCTCTCTCTCTCTCTCTCTCTCTCTCTCTCTCTCTCTCTCTTTCTTCTTCTTCTTCTTGTTCTTGTTTTCTTGTTCTCGTTCTCCTTCTCGTTCTCCTTCTCGTTCTCATTCTCCTTCTCCTTCTCCTTCTCCTTCTCCTTCTCGTTCTTCTTCTCCTTCTCCTTCTCCTTCTCCTTCTCCGTCTTCTTCTCCGTCTTCTTCTCCTTCTTCTTCTTCTTCTTCTTCTTCTTCTTCTTCTTCTTCTTCTTCTTCTTCTTCTTCTTCTTCTTCTTCTTTTTTCTCTCTCTCTTTCTGTTTCTTTGTCTCTCTGTCTCTCTCTGTCTCTATCCCTCTCTCTGAAATCAATAAAAGCATTTTGAGCCAAGCTGGTGTTTCTCAGTAGTTGAGGGATGACCTATGAACCCAGAGGTCACGGTTCGATTCCTCGTCAGGGCGCAGACAAGAATTAACCAATGAGCCCTAGCTTGTTTGGCTCAGTGAATAGAGGGTTGGACTGTGGACTCTGGAAGGTCCCAGGGTTGATTCTGGTCAAGAGCACATGCTCTGGTTGTGGGCTCGATCCCCAGTAGGGGGCATGCAGGAGGCACCCAAAGCATGATTCTTTCTCATCATTGATGTTTCTCGCTCCCTTCCTGTGTAAAATCAATCCTATATAAAAAAAGGGATATATGCTAAGTGTCCAGTCGAACGGTCATCTGTTCAAACAATCAAAGCATAATATGCAAAGGATATACTAAGGTTGCTCAACTGCTCGCTATGACATGCATTGACCACCAGGGACAAGACATTCAGACTGGTAGGTCAGTTTGCTGCTGGGGTCTGGCTGATTGGGACTGAGTGAGACATGCTGGACACACCCTGGAGCCCTCCCATGGACCCTCCCCAGCTGGTCAACCTCCTGTGTCACTCCCCAGACTTAATGGTGCACCGGTTGGGTGCCTTGGCCTGGCCTGTGCCCTCTTGTAATCTGGGATCCATTGGGGGATCTCAGAGAGCTGGTTTCGGCCTGATCCTGCAGGCCAGGCTGAGACACCACACTTGCACATGAATTTGTGCACTGGGCCTCTAGGAAAATATATTAAACAGAGAAAGACAAAGAAAAAGACCTTAAGCCTGAAAATATTACCCCTCTCGGGTAGACAAGGCTTGAAGACATCACTGGAAATAGTTTTCATTTCAATGACCAGCGTTCTCATTGTTTGATCTCCTGAGGTTCATCAACTGATACTACTCTCTCCAAAAACAGAATGAATGTTTGGGGTATTACGGGTGTTTTATGCTGATCATCTCTTTCCTTTGAGGAATTATGAGGGATGCCAGGGCTGGTCTTCTGAAGTCTCCAGCATGCTCTGTGTGTGGCTTTAACATAACATCTAACTCTGTGTGCATTTGGGTTTTTAATTGTTTTTAGCACTAAACAGCCCCAAACAAAGAGCTGCGATCATATAATTCATCTACCATCTCACCAGAGAGAAGGGGCTGGAGGGGAGCCTGGGGGGATCCCCAGAAATCAATTTCAGAGAATCCATGTTTCTATTAAAGAAATCACTGACTGCTGATTAAATTCTCCTCTTGCAGGAAGGTGTTTGCAAATGCAAATTGAGCCCTTTAAGGCTGAGGACTGGGGAGCGTGAGGGATGTGTTTCCAAGTTTCGTTTCTCATATTCAAAATATTGCACTCCGGGCCTAGCCGGCATGGCTCAGGCGCTGAGCATCGACATTATCAACCAGGAGGTCATGGTTCGATTCCCAATCAAGGGCACATGCCGGGGTTGCGAGCTCAATAGCCAGTAGGGGGCGTGTGGGAGGCGGACAATCCATGATTCTCCCTCATCATCGATGTTTCTCTCCCTCTCTATCCCATCCTCTCCGTGTCAATGAAATTATTTAAAAAAATATTAAGCATGTGTTTCATTCAGATTAAATGCACATTGTTTTAAAATAGTTAATTATTATTTTTGTTTAACATACCATGTGGGTAGTCATTTAAAGATGACATAACACCCTAGCTGGTGTAGCTCAGCAGATAGAGCGTTGGCCTTTTTTTAAAATATATTTTTATTAATTACAGAGAGGAAGAGAGAGGGAGAGAGTTAGAAACATCCATGATGAGAGAATCATGGATTGGCCTCATCCTGCAAGTCCCTCACTTGTAATCAAGCCCACAATCTGGGCATGTGCCCTTGACCGGGAATCAAACCCGGGATACATCAGTTCGAAGGGCGACACTCTATCCACTGAGCCAAACCGGCTATGGTCTATTTGACATTCTCGAAGGGTGGAAGCGCCTTGAAGAAGAACGAAGCATCTCAGCATTCATGTCACAGTAATTACATGAATTCATGTAATTCATGGAAATTACAACTCACCTCACCATTCTTTCCACATTGTTCCTGTAAATGCAGACTCTGACTAATAATGAAGCTTGTAGGTAAACAGCATGTTTGTGTAAGAATCCTAGGAACTAATTTTACAAGATATGAACTCTGACCTTCCACGTTCTGGGAGATTTGCTGACCTTAGAGCCAGGAAGACAAAGGCTAGGATGATGCACACTGGACCGTCACCTGACCACTTGCAAGATCCTTATCAGATTGGATTCTGCCTGTGGGCTCATAGAGAACTTCTCAAGACCCGCCCCCTGACCTCTTTGCTATGTTTGGACTCTCCCTCCTTATAAAAGCCTCTGCCTGCACTGAGATTGCAGATGGGATTTGGGACGAGCTTCCCCCATCTTCTCAGGTTGCCGGAACCTGAATAAACCTCTTTCCTTCCTCACCACCACCTGTCTCACGGAACTGGTTTCTGGGGTGCGAGTCAGGGGAACCTTGTTTTTTCTGGAAGCATTCCTGATACATGGACTCCCTGTAACAGGTGTATCATGGCCATGTTCTTTCTTCTGCAGGTGACAGGGGGAAGCAGAGACCAGTCACAAGGGAAGGAGCGAAGAACAGTGCTTTGCCTTCAGAGCAAGAAGAACAGGCAAGAAAAAGAAGGATAGGAGGAGGAGGAGGAAGGATTGGGGATGGAGTCTGATCTGAGGGAGGAATTTGGACTTTGTGGACTGAAGTGAGTTTAGCAGCAAAACCATACAGCTCTTGCCAAGGGAATGGCTGAGGTTTGGGGAAAGGAGAGATCATTCTATAAGTGATGATATGAGAACTCAGGAATCCTACTTGCTGTCTCACCTGTCTCTTTTTTTCCTGTTTGCCCGATCAGCTATCTCAGGTTTCTGTCTGACCCTGAATATTTTGGTCCTGCCTATCTCACCAGCACCTGGGAAGCAAGACCGCTGTTAAGAAGCCCACCTGGATGCTGATATTAGCTTTGTTCCTCTGCTAGCTGTTAAAGGTAAAGCATATTATTTGCATATTATTTGCATGGGGTGGGTTGTTCTATGGCTTGTGAGTTCCCTCTGAGATGATCAGAAAGAAGGTGTTGGTGTCATGACAAAAAGAAAAGTTGAACCAACTACGAAGTATTAATTAAGAAAAAACGAAAAGAATAGAAAAGAGCCCGGCTGCCATGGCTCAGTTGTTTAGCTTAAACCTAGGAACCAGGAGATGTCAATTCGATACCCAGTCATGGCACAAGCCCGGGTTACATGCCTGGGTTAGTCTTCATCCCCAGTAGGGGGCATCCAGGAGGCAATGAATTCATTATTCTCTGTCATCATTGATCTTTCGCTCTCTCTCCTTCTCCCTTCCTCTCTGAAATAAGTAAAACTATATGAAAAAAAGGAAAGAATAGTGATGGCACAATAAAGTAGAGCATTGAGGCAATTCTACACAATAAAAGGCTAATATGCAAACAGAACAAACAGCAGAAGGACTGGTCGCTATGACACAGACTGACCACTGGGGGCAGATGCTCATGTCAGGAGCTGTCTACCAGTGGTCAGTGCACTTCCACAGGGGGAGCACGGCTCAGCCAAAAGGCAAGCTCAAAGCTGCCGAGACTGGGGGGGAGAGGGAGCACCACGGCAGCACAAAAGTGGGCCTAAGCCATCAGTTGGACATCCTTAAAAGGGTCCAAGACCATGAGAGGCCACAAGGCTGACTGAGGGACCCCCGCAAGTGCAGGAATTTTGTGCACTGAGCCTCTAGTAATATTATAATAACTGTGTATGTTGTCTGATGTGTATGAGATTAATTGCATGATTTCTTAGTCCATTATATAAAGTCTAATCATTGGGTATACCCCTGAAATGAACCCAAGGTTGTTTGTCAACTGTCATTTAAAAAATGTTTTAAAAATTCTATAGGACCACGTTACCTTCACAGAGTCACATTTTACTTCAAGTATGTTTTGTACAGTTTGTTCTCGAAGAAAGATCTAAAGGTAAAAAAGAATAAAAAGTTGAGATTTATAAATTTGCAAAATAAAACAAGGCACCACAAACACAACCGTAAAAACCATAAAGATAAAAGCAGAGGTAAATGCATTTGGAGACCCTATTCCCTGTATTTCGATGCCAGGACCGAAGTAGCGAGAGGCTCTGAGAAGCTGTGGCTGTTGCTCCTTGGATGACGGAGGGGTCATGGCCGAGCTCCCATCAAAGGTGCGCCTCACATTGCCCCCCATCTACCTGAGGATCCGTGGGCCCTCAGTGTATGAGGATGAGAACCAGCGCACGTGGCTGCATCTCTTCTTGGAGACAGGAGGTGTCCTGCAAGTACGGTTGCGCCAGGAAGACATCCCCAGTGGGCATATTCAACTCACCACCACCCCGCCGACCTCGAGCACCATGCCTTCCTGGTGGACGCTCCAGTTTGGCAGACGGTACCTGGACTCCATGCACCAGATCTGGCGCATAGTGCACCAGGGTAATGAGAATGGCGTGGAGGAAATTATCCTTGAGCTGACAGAAGACTCGTAGGACATGTGAGTGGGTCCCTGGCTCTTGTCAACCTGATCCCCAGTCCTGCAGGCCTGCCAGGGGCACCTGTATAGTTCTATTCACCTTTTTAATAAGCTCTATTGTTCTACCTGCCATCCTCTGGGTGTGAGGGCACATTGATCTCTCTCTCTCTCTCTTCTTCTTCTTGTTGTTCTTCTTCTTGTTATTCTTCTTTTTCTCCTTCTCTCTCTCTTTCTGTTTCTTTGTCTCTTTGTCTCTCTCTGTCTCTCTCCCTCTCTCTCAAATCAATAAAAGCATTTTGAGCCAAGCTGGTGTTTCTCAGTGGTTAAGGGACAACCTATGAATCCGGAGGTCAAGGTTCGATTCCTCGTCAGGGCACAGACAAGAATTAACCAATGAGCCCTAGCTTGTTTTGCTCAGTAGATAGAGGGTTGGACTGTGGCCTCTGGAAGGTCCCAGGGTTGATTCCGTTCAAGGGCACATGTTGTGGTTGTGGGCTCTATCACCAGCAGGGGGCGTTCAGGAGGCACCCGATGTATGATTCTCTGTCATTATTGATGTTTCTCGCTCCCTTCCTGTATGAAATCAATCCTATATAATAAAAGCAAAATATGCTAATTGTCCAGTCGACCGGTCATCTGTTCAACCAATCAAAGCATAATATGCAAATGATATACTAAGGTTGCTCAACTGCTCGCTATGACATGCATTGACCACCAGGGACAAGACATTCAGACTGGTAGGTCAGTTTACTGCTGGGGTCTGGCTGATTGGGACTGAGTGAGACATGCTGGACATACCCTGGAGCCCTCCCATGGACCCTCCCCAGCTGGTCAACCTCTCCTGTCACTCCCCAGACTTAATGGTGCACCGGTGGGGTGCCTTGGCCTGGCCTGTGCCCTCTTGTAATCTGGGACCCATTGGGGGATCTCAGAGAGCTGGTTTCGGCCTGATCCCGCAGGCCAGGCTGAGACACCGCACTTGTGCATGAATTCGTGCACCGGGCCTCTAGGAAAATATATTAAACAGAGATAGACAAAGAAAAAGACCTTAAGCCTGAAAATATTACCCCTCCCAGGTAGACAAGGCTTGAAGACATCATTGGAAATAGTTTTCATTTCAATGACCAGCGTTCTCATTGTTTGATCTCCTGAGGTTCATCAACTGATACTACTCTCTCCAAAAACAGAATGAATGTTTGGGGTATTACGGGTGTTTTATGCTGATCATCTCTTTCCTTTGAGGAATTATGAGGGATGCCAGGGCTGGTCTTCTGAAGTCTCCAGCATGCTCTGTGTGTGGCTTTAACATAACATCTAACTCTGTGTTCGTTTGGGTTTTTAATTGTTTTTAGCACTAAACAGCCCCAAACAAAGCGCTGCGATCATTTAATTCATCTACCATCTCACCAGAGAGAAGGGGCTGGAGGGGAGCCTTGGGGGGGGGATCCCCAGAAATCAATTTCAGGGCATCCATGTTTCTATTAAAGAAATCACTGACTGCTGATTAAATTCTCCTCTTGCAGGAAGGTGTTTGCAAATGAAAATTGAGCCCTTTAAGGCTGAGGACTGGGGAGCGTGAGGGATGTGTTTCCAAGTTTCGTTTCTCATATTCAAAATATTGCACTTCGGGCCTGGCCGGCATGGCTCAGTTGCTGAGCATCGACGGATCAACCAGGAGGTCATGGTTAGATTCCCAATCAAGGGCACATGCCCGGGTTGGGGGCTCAATAGCCAGTAGGGGGCATGTGGGAGGCAGACAATCCATGATTCTCCCTCATCATTGATGTTTCTCTCCCTCTCTATCCCATTCTCTCTGTGTCAATGAAATTATTTAAAAAAATACTAAGCATGTGTTTCATTCAGATTAAATGCACATTGTTTTAAAATAGTTAATTATTATTTTTGTTTAACATACCATGTGGGTAGTCATTTAAAGATGACATAACACCCTAGCTGGTGTAGATCAGCGGATAGAGCGTTGGCCTTTTTTTTCAAATATATTTTTATTAATTACAGAGAGGAAGAGAGAGGGAGAGAGTTAGAAACATCCATGATGAGAGAATCATGGATTGGCCTCATCCTGCAAGTCCCTCACTTGTAATCAAGCCCACAATCTGGGCATGTGCCCTTGACCGGGAATCAAACCCGGGATACATCAGTTCGAAGGGCGACACTCTATCCACTGAGCCAAACCGGCTATGGTCTATTTGACATTTTCGAAGGGTGGAAGCGCCTTGAAGAGAATGAAGCATCTCAGCATTCATGTCACAGTGGAATTACAACTCACTCACATTCTTTCCACATTTTTCCTGTAATGCAGACTCTGACTAATGATGAAGCTTG